CCTCAATCCGCAGGACCCACCAGCAGCCCTCGAAAGTGGCGACAGCGTCGCAGATCGCAGCCTCTCAGGGACGGCGAGGTCTCGCTCAGATCTGCCTGGTGCCTCGCTCCGCTGGACCCACCAGCAGCCCTCGAAAGTGGCGACAATTTCGCAGATCGCAGCCCTCCAGCGACGGCGAGGCCTCGCTCAGATCCCCGCGGTGCCTCACTCCGCAGGACCCACCAGCAGCCCTCGAAAGTGGCGACAACGTCGCAGATCGCAGCCTCCCAGAGACGGCGAGGTCTCGCTCAGATCCCCACGGTGCCTCACTCCGCTGCACCCACCAGCAGCCCTCGAAAGGGGCGACAATGTCGCAGATCGCAGCCTCGCAGGGTCGCTCAGATCTGCGCGGTGTCTCACTCCGCAGGCCTCACCAGCAGCCCTCGAAAGGGGCGGCAATGTCGCAGATCGAAGCCCCCCCAGGGACGGCAAAGTCTCGCTCAGATCCCCACGGTGCCTCACTCCGCTGGACCCACCAGCAGCCCTCGAAAGTGGCGACAGCTTCGCAGATCGCACCCCCCCAGGGACGGCGATGTCTCGCTCAGATCTGCGCGGTGCCTCACTCCGCAGGAACACCAGCAGCCCTCGACAGTGGCGACAATTTCGCAGATCGCAGCCCCCCAGGGACGGCGAGGTCTCGCTCAGATCCCCGCGGTGCCTCACGCCGCAGGACCCACCAGCAGCCCTCGAACGTGGCGACAGCGTCACAGATCGCAGCCCCCCAGGGACGGCGAGGTCTCGCTCAGATCCCCGCGGTGCATCAATCCGCAGGGCCCACCAGCAGCCCTCGGAAGGGGCGACAATGTCGCAGATCGCAGCCCCCAGGGACGGCGAGGTCTCGCTCAGATCCCCACGGTGCCTCGCCCCGCTGGACCCACCAGCAGCCCTCGAAAGTGGAAACAGTGTCGCACATCGCAGCCCCCCAAGGACGGCGAGGTCTCGCTCAGATCTGCGCGGTGCCTCACCCCGCAGGACCCGCCAGCAGCCCTGAAAAATTTGCGACCGTTTCGCAGATCGCAGCCCCCCCAGGGACGGCGAGGTCTCGCTCAGATCCCCGCGGTGCCTCACTCCGCTGGACCCACCAGCAGCCCTCGAAAGTGGCGACAGCTTCGCAGATCGCACCCCCCCAGGGACGGCGATGTCTCGCTCAGATCTGCGCGGTGCCTCACTCCGCAGGACCCACCAGCAGCCCTCAAACGTGGCGACAATTTCGCAGATCGCAGCCCCCCAGGGACGGTGAGGTCTCGCTCAGATCCCCGCGGTACCTCACTCCGCAGGACCCACCAGCAGCCCTCGAAAGTGGCGACAGTGTCACAGATCGCAGCCCTATTGGCAAGATGCACACATAAGAAGTACACCAGCCGAGATGCACACACACACACACTCACACACACAAGGTACGCACAAGACAAGAAGGCAAGAGGAACGCGAGAGGCGAGAGGCGGGAGGAGGACGCGATCGGGGTGCTCTGTTGAAAAATAATACCCAATCAAGGAGGGTTGGGAAATTACCCTGGCGACGTACCCAACCCCTGCGCAATGCGGGACATGAACAGCTTGGGCGACGTTATACGGAGGTGATGACGTGATATGGGCGCATCTACTTCTGCGAGCGGCATTCGTGAGGCTCGCAGCCCCCCAAGGATTGCAATGTCTCGCTCAGATCTGCCTGGTGCCTCGCTCCGCTGGACCCACCAGCAGCCCTCGAAAGTGGCGACAATTTCGCAGATCGCAGCCCTCCAGCGACGGCGAGGCCTCGCTCAGATCCCCGCGGTGCCTCACTCCGCAGGACCCACCAGCAGCCCTCGAAAGTGGCGACAATTTCGCAGATCGCAGCCTCCCAGAGACGGCGAGGTCTCGCTCAGATCCCCACGGTGCCTCACTCCGCAGGACCCACCAGCAGCCCTCGAAAGGGGCGACAATGTCGCAGATCGCAGCGCCTCAGGGACGGCAAGGTCGGTCCCGCTCAGATCTGCGCGGTGCCCCACTCCGCGGGACCCACCAGCAGCCCTCGAACGTGGCGACAGTTTCGCAGATCCCCCCCCCAGGGACGGCGAGGTCTCGCTCAGATCTGCGCGGTGCCTCACCCCGCGGGACCCACCAGCAGCCCTCGAAAGTGGCGACAATTTCGCAGATCGAAGCCCCCCAGGGACGGCGATGTCTCGCTCAGATCTGCGCGGTGCCTCACTCCGCAGGACCCACCAGCAACCCTCGAACGTGGCGACAGTTTCGCAGATCGCAACCCCCCAAGGACGGACATGTCTCGCTCAGATCTGCGCGGTGCCTCACTCCGCAGGGCACACCAGCAGCCATCGACCATGGCGACAATGTCGCAGATCGCAGCCCCCAAAAGACGGCGAGGTCTCGCTCAGATCTGCGCGGTGCCTCACTCCGCGGGACCCACCAGCAACCCTCGAAGTGGCGACAATTTCGCAGACCGCAGCCCTCCAGGGACGACGAGGTCCCGCTCAGATCCCCGCGGTGCCTCACTCCGCAGGACCCACCAGCAGCCTTCGAAAGGGGCGACAATGTCGCAGATCGCAGCCCCCCAGGGACGGCGAGGCATCGCTCAGATCCCCGCGGTGCCTCACCCCGCAGGACCCACCAGCAGCCCTCGAAAGGGCGACAATGTCGCAGATCGCAACCATCCAGGGACGGCGAGATCTCGCTCAGATCTGCACGGTACCCCACTCCGCAGGACCCACCAGCAGCCCTCGAAAATGGCGACAGCTTCGCAGATCGCACCCCCCCAGGGACGGCGATGTCTCGCTCAGATCTGCGCGGTGCCTCACTCCGCAGGACCCACCAGCAGCCCTCGACAGTGGCGACAGTTTCGCAGATCGCAGCCCCCAGGGACGGCGAGGTCTCACTCAGATCTGCGCGGTGCCCCACTCCGCAGGACCCACCAACAGCCCTCGAAAGTGGCGACAGCGTCGCAGATCGCAGCCCCCATCGTCGGCGAAGAGAGGGCAGGAGGAGGCGGGAGGCGGGAGGAGGACGCGACCACACCCTTCTATTCAAACGAGTACCCAACCAAGGAGGGTTGGGGAAAATATGAGCAGAAACAGGCAAGCCGCCTGCGCCCCCCCTCCCACAAGATGGGCGTAACTCCTGGAGTGTCCTCACCCCTGGCGTCTCCCCCTGTGGGGTGCCCAAGTGCCATGCCTGCTATATCGCGGTCACCGCTGGGCCACCAACAAAACCATCTGGGGGCAAAAACAGGAACGCCGCCTGAGACGCCCCAACAATGAGAGCACGAGTCCTGCAGTGTCATGACCCCTGGCGGCTCCCCCTCGGGGTGCCCTAGTGCCATGCCTACCATATCGCGGTGAACACTGGACCACAGACAAAATCTGGGGGGCAGAAAGGGGCAAGCCCTTGGCGGCTCCCCCTGGGGTGCCGAAGCGCCACGCTTGCTTTATCGTGGTGAGCAGTAAACCACAAACAAACAACATGGGGACCAGAAACAGGCACGCCGCCTGAGACGCCCCCATAATGTGAGCGCGAGTCCTGCATTGTCCTCACCCCTGGCGCCCCCCCCCCCTTTGGGAGTGCTGAGACGAGCGCCTCGCCTGAGACATCCTCACAACCTGTTCCGAAAACAAACGAAGTTGGTGGGAAACAACAGGCAAGCCGCATGAGACTCCCCCACAATCTGGACGCAGGTTCTGGAGTACAATCACCCCTGGCGACTCCTCCTTGGGGCGCCGAGGTGCCACACCTGCTAAATGGCGGTGAGCAGTGGGTCACCAAAAAAGTCGGACTGAGTCTGAATGAGGAAAGGGTGTGTCGGAGTGAAAGGAATTAAGTATGTATGGATGGGAGTGAGTCGGAGGCAAACTCCCTGAGCAGGCCTGCGTGAGTCTGAGTTTGAATGAGCGAGTCTGAGTGACAACGTGATGTAGCGGAGTCTGCGTGAAGAAGAACGAAAATATGATGGACCCCGTAAACAAGAGTGAGTCTGTGATGGGCCCCGTGCTGGCTGTAAGTGCTTTTCGTATGAGTAGATGAATGATATGGAAGCGAAGAAGCACAAGGAGGAAGGATGTCCAAGGGCGTCAAGTAATACCACGAGCACGACCTTAGGATATGGATAATAATTGATTAGTCCTTTCTTCGGAGCTGTTGGAGAGCCTTTTGTGCACGTCTTGGTCATCCAGGGGCGCCCCTTGAGCGCGTGGAAGTCGTCGTGGGCCGTCTTGGAAAGCTGTGTGGGCGGTCTTGGGGTATGTTGGGGGCCTCCGGCGCCGTCCAGACGCTGTCTTGAACACTTATCGAACTCTCGTGAGCCGTCCCGGAGCCTCGAAACTGTCTTGAGGGGGGGGTCCATGCTGTGCGAAGCTAATTGGGCCTGGCGCCAAGCCGCCTCGTCCCACAGGAGATGTAGGTACACAGTTATGCTGAAACATATACATATACACACCACGCATAGCTATTCTTCGTGCATGTATAAATCTAAATGTAAGGAGGATCGTGGCCTCCGAGGGGGCAGCCGCAATCGACTACCCCCAAGAGCCCCCCAAGAGGCCCTGCGGGCCTCCAAAACGCCGCCAAGGAGCCCCAAGAGACTCCCAAGAGGTCCCCAAGAGGCCCCCAAGAGGCCCTAAAGAGGGCTCCAGGGCCGGCGGCATGAGCGAAGCGATTAAATAAATCTAAATGTAAGGCGAATTCTGGAAAACCTAGATCGAAACAAGCATTGCTTCCCTGATGCGGGAGTGCGATTGTTGTTGTCGTCCGCCGGGTTCCGCCGGCCGTCCACCGGCGGAGCCGCCCCCGTGGTATTTTCGCCGCCTTCCGCGGGCCCTCCTTCGAGGAAGATGCGGTAACCTCTCGATCCCTCATTCTGTCGGGGAGACGTAAGACCCGGGTACGGGGGACTCGGAAATCCCCGACGAGGTCGTACGGGGGACCGGGGTACGGGGGACCCGGGTCTTACGCTCCCCCGATTCTGGAGCGCGCCACATGATGACGTCGGGGTTCAACTTCGCCTCGCGCATCTCGTTGAGCAGCGACAGAGCTCGCTGCCACTGCTCGCCCTTCTCGCACGCGCTGATCCCAGCGTTGTAGCTGACCAGGGCTGACCCGTGGACTACCGGCCACTAGTGCCGAAAGTCAGAGTGCCCATGCTGCTGATCATTGCTACGGGGTGCGCTGTCTGCTTGACGATTCTGCGGGTGGCCAGGGCAGCGCTAGCAGCAGTATCAGCGGTAGCAGATCCAGAGGCATGGGCAGCAGCAACCGCAGCAGCTCCACATCCTCCTCCTCGTCCTCCTTCTCCTCCTACTCCTCTTCCTCCTCCTCCTCCTCCTCCTCCTCCACTTCGTCCTCCTCCAGCCGATGACGGGACTCGTGATCATCTGGCCGGGGGCCCGCGGCGGCGGTGAGATGCTTGTCGTCGTCGTCGCCGTCGTCGTTCTCGTCGTCGTTGTCGTCGGCTCGTGCCCTCTTCCTCGTCCTGTTGCTGCTGCTCGTGGCTTCAAGAAGCTCCGTGAGCGCCCCGAGAAGGCCCTCAGAGGCCCCGAGAGAATCTGGGAGGGCCTGAAGCGACCCGATTGAGGCTCGCAGTGATGTGGACACCTTGCCAGAATCATGTTTGGGGCTTTCCAATACGCTCTGGAGGTCTCTGGGAGGGGCCCAAGAGGGGCCTCCGAATGGCCGAAAGAGGCTCCGAGAGTGCTCCGACAGTGCCTGCAGAGGCCCCGGCAGAATCCGGGACGGCCTGAAGCGACACCAGATTGAGGCTCGAATTGATCATTTTTGCCCCCCCGCGAACTCACTTCTTGGCCTCCTCGAGACGCCCAAAGAGCTCTGTGAGGGGCCCAAGGGGGCCCCCGAGTGGCCGAAGAAGGCTCCGAGAGCGCTCCGACAGGGCCTTCAAACAGTCCGGGAGGGCTTGAAGCGACACCAGATTGAAGTTCGAAGTGCTCCTTTGGACCCCCCGCCAAAAGGACAACCCAGGAGGGCCCGAAGCGACACCAAAGTGGGCCTTCTCGGAGCCTGTCGGAGCCGTCCTTGGAGGAGCCGCCGGACAGCCCCCGGGAGCCTCTGGGGAGCCCGCCTGGGGCCTTGTCGAGGAGCCCTTCGGGAGCGCCTCGGAGGCCTGCTGGCCGTGTGTGGGGGCGGGATCGGAAGGGGAGCGCTCCCGAGATATAGCCCTCTGGGGGCATCCCTGGGGGCCGTCTTGAGGCGTCGTCGGGCAGTCCTGGGAGGCCCCGGAGCCGTACGGGCGGCTTCTGGGGGAACCCCTGGGCCAGCCTCGGCCTACTTTGGGAGCCTCTGGGGCTGTCCGGGGCGACGCGAAGCCGGAAACGGGAGCTCCAAACGAAGTTTTTTCCCAAACCAAAAGATAGCTCGGCGTCCTCGTGCCCCTCTCGGAGGCCATCTGGAATCCTGGCGGATCCTGGTAAGGGCCTTCCTGGGCCGTCTCCGGGGCACGCGCGGGGCGCTCCTGTCGGGCTGGGCGAAAAGGGGGGGACAGCAGAAGGGGGGTTTGAGGATCACCTCACGCAGCTGATTTTCCCGGCGCCGGGATGCGCCGGGGAGGCGCCCGTGTATCGAGGAATGGGCCCGGCGGCGGGGCCGAAACCAGCTGCAAGCAGCAGATTTCGTAACCCCCCCGTTTCCCTGTCCCCCCCTTTCGTTCGGCCAGGGCGGCCTTGCTCCACGAGCCGGGCCGCGGCCCCGCGCGCGGAGGCGCCCCCGCCGTGGGCACGAAAGGGCGTGGGCAGTCGTCCCTTCCGGCACGCGCCGGGCCCGGCATTGCGGTATTGGCTAAGGTTGTGGATGCCACGACAATGGACAGCCTAACAGTCCGATCCTTGAGTTTAACATGTGTTTATGATGTAGAAATATGTCCTAAGCATGCTTTGGACATGTTGTGCTACATGTTTAAAACATGTTTTAGACATCTGGAAATTATTTGGCAACATGCGTCCTCTCCATGGATCGTCCTCCACAAGGCCAAGGCTGACCCGTGGACAACGTCCACGAAGTCGCTTCAGACTGGCATGTGGTGGTGGATCTGCTGCCGAACGGCCGACAGAACGAAGTGGGCTCGAGCTTTGCATCCCGCGCGCTGCAACTGCGTGCTGCTGCTCGCCGCCGAAGCTGCGGACTGTTGGTCATGCTTGCCGGTGCTGCGTGCTGTTGCTGCTCGTCGTTGCAAGGTGCTGCTGAAGGTCGATTGTGACCTGTCCGTGCTGCTGCCCCCTGCCTGCTGCTGCTGCTGCTTGCTGTTGCTGCGTGCCGCCGCCGCTGCTGCCCGCTTCGTGCTGCGTGCTGATGGCCGTTCGCTGCTGCTGCTGCCTGCTGCTCCTGGCTGCCGCGGCGGCTTGCCGCTGCTGGGCGCTGCTGCTCGGGGCCGCAGCCTGCTGCCGGCATCGGGTCGAGGAGCGAGGCACACAAGGGGAGCGAGCAGGTCGGGGAGGGGCGAGAGGCGAGGAGCGACTCGCACAGGAGAGCGAGGCGCGATCGGCGAGGAGCGGCGGCCGAGGAGAGCGGAGAGGGGGGCGCGGAGGGAGGGCCGAGGCGGGGGGCGGCGGCAGGAGGGAGGCACCTCTCGGTGGCCTCTCGGGCACTGCGAGGGAAGCCCCGCGGGATGCATCTCGGGGGTGCCTCGGGGCATCTCCGGGCCCCTCCCCGAAGCGTCTGGGGCGCCGACGGGGCCCTCCCCGGCCTCCTGGGGCCTTCTGGGCGGTCCTCGGGGCCGCTCGGAGCTGCTCAAGGGGGGGAGGGTGCAGGGGCGGTCGGGAGGACCTCGGGGCTATCTTTTTGTGCTTCCCTGGGCCACCGTGGTCCCGCCTTGAGACTCTCTTGGCGGCCTCTTGGGCCGTCTCGGGGGCCGCTTGGCCCATCTTCTACGCAAGACGGGCCATCTTCGGGACCTCTCGGAGGCCTCCTGACCGTCTCATGGATAGTGTACTGCAGCGTGTAGGACGCATTCTGAGCCGCAAACTGTTGCATGATGATTTGTCATTGAGTAAGGCTCTGTAGCCCATGCGCATTGCACACGTAAAGCATGCCGCTTGCACTTGGATATCGTTATGAACGATTGCATTCATAATCAACAGAAGGTTGCGATGCATTCGTCCTGGGTAAACAAGTTACAAACAACATGCGCAGTTCCACAACAAAGGAAGTCATATGCTAGCCAACGATCGCCCCAAGCTGTGCGTGATTGCACCGTGGAGGACAAGGCTATGCGGTTCACGCTCTTTGGTGGAAGCTATGTCATGCAAGCTACGCCGTGTGAAACATGGAGGTGGGAAATGATAGTGTAAACGATGTCGTGAACGCTATGCGGTGTGAACTGGCGGCGCAAATCGTGGGGTACAAGATGTGTGATGTCAGCTGTGTTGTGTGAGCGGTGTGGGGCGCCCACGTGGCAACCACGATGAGGCACGGGCGGCACGTTGGCGCAACCTCGGCACACCCCCAAATAGCGCGAGGCGTCGACGCTGCGCCCGAGAAGCGGAAAGGGCCCGCGGCGTGGCGCAGCCTCAGCAGAGCCCCCCCCAAGCGCGGAGCGCCCACCCACGACGCGCCCAGAAGGCGGCACGGACCTGCCACGTGGCGAAAACGCGGAAGACCCGTCTACGTCACTTCCTTGGTTGAGATGCGGGAGGACCCCTACGTACAAGCACGGGGATGATTCCACTACGCCCTTCACAGTCATAGCGCTCCATGGTCGTATCAGATAACAGAAAGAGGAACAACCAAACGGCTGAGCTTCCCCATGCTCTTCCCGCACGTCCGAGGAAAGGACCCTGGCGAAACCCATTTGCAACGGTCCCACCTCATAATGCTAGCTCTGCTGTGCCTGCTGCATGCCGGCTACGATCGTCGGCTCGTCCTGTTTTGATGCCCTCTTGAGGTCACCTCTGTGTCCTCTTGGGTTTAAGGGGTCCCCATGTCGGGGCTTCTCGGCGCCCGGGGCCATGCTTTAGAAGAGGAAAAACGGTATAACATAAACAGGTCCGGCACTGGGACTGTCTGGAACGTTCATACCAATACGATGGCATTGGCATGGGTAAAATCTTCCCAGCAGCCCTTGGGCAAACGTCCCCGATGACGGATCTTTCTTGTTATATCATTTAAAGCCCGCTACATGCTGGGGGTCGTTGCGGCCTCCCGGGGCCCTCTCGGGGATCTGGGGGCAACCTGGCAAAACATTGGGTCATCTTTGGACTGTCTTCGGCTGGCGTGGCGCCGTATCGGGGACGCCTTGGAGTACATCAGAGCTCCAGGTGCCGAACAGGCGTTGGGATGCCCTAGCCCTTCAGCTGATAACATGTGTATAGGGTTCGTTCGGCCCCGAATGGTTGGGCTCTTGGGGGCGTCCCGAGCCCTCGTTGGAGCTCTTGTGGGCCCCTGGAACCGCCTCGAAGTCCGTGGAGCAGATCGTGGAGTCGTCTGCGGGGAAATCCACTGGAATGTACAAACCCTGCGGGGGTTGTACGATCTTCCGCTCTGAGGGGCATTCGGCGGAACCACATTGGAACTTGTTGGGACCACGTTTGCGTCATCTCTTGGCGTCGTGCGCCGTTTCTGCCCGATTTGGGCAATTCCTCGAGACTCTCTTGCCCCCCCTCGAGCCCTGCGGGATCCGCACTGGGGCGTCTGGGGTCGTCAAAGCCTCCAGGTGTGGTCAAGCAAGCCTTGACACTCGTTTTCGCTCGCACGCGATCATCAAGGCATGCTAATTCGTAGTAGAGGTGACGTCGGGATCCAACTTCGCTGCTAACATTTCTCTCAGCAACACCATCCCATGCTGCCACTGCCCGCCCTTCTCACAAGCGCTGACCCCAGCGTTGTAGCTGACGACAGTAGGCTCAAGCGTCATCTCACAGAACCCGTGGAGCAACGCCAACGCCCTCTGCCATTGCTTGCCTTTCGCGTACGCGCTGATTCCAGCGTTCAGGATGATGGCAGAGGGCTCTAATTTTGACACCCGAAGATCGCCGAGCAACGCCAGGGCTTGCTGCCACTGCCCACCTTTAGCGCACGCGCTGATCCCACCGTTGTAGCTGATGACATCTGGCTCCAGCATCGCCTGACCAACCACGTCAAGAAGAGCCAGAACGCGCTGCCACTGGTCGCACTTCTCGCACGCGAAGATGGCAGCGTTGAAGCTGATGACGTTTGCTTCCAGCTTCGACTCCTGCAGCTCATCGAGCAGCGACAGCGCCAGCTGCCACTGTTTGCCTTTCTCGCACGCGCTGATCCCAACGGTGTAGCTGATGGTGCCAGGCTCCATCTCTGCATCATCCCGCAACTCCTTGAATAATGACAACGCATGCTGCCACTGCCTGCCTTTGACGCACGCGCTCATAGCAGCGTTGTAGAAAGCGGTGCAAACTGGCATGCCCGGTCGAGATTTTTCCAAGAAGAAGCGCAGCGCCGCGCTCCACTGCTTTGCGTCGCCATGCTTCCGGATAGTGGCGACGACCGAGTCCTCGTATGCATTCTGGTTCCGTTGCACCTGGCTAACGGCCTGCAACGCCATGGACCTTGTAGGAGAAACAAAAGGTACCGATACCGCTACTCCCCGAACCTCTCCTGGGGCGCGTTCTGACAAGAACTTCAAGGAGAATCCAGAGGTGGCGACGAGGCCCTCCCCGGAGGCCCAAAAAGGCGAAAGCGAAGGAAGGGTAACGGCATCTGTTCCGTTTCCTCCTCTGACTTCGGGGTCTGCTCATAGAACGCGAGAGGCGATCGCGTGGGCACCCAACATATGGCCAGACCTGTGGAGAGACCGTCGTCCTCGGGCCAGGCAACTGAGTGCGTCGGGCGACTTGGGCCCCAGAGGCGCCAGAATGAAGAAGGAGAAGAAGAGGTCGAGGAAAGAGAAGTCTGCACACGCACTGACCCTGGCCCTGACAGTCCTGGGCCCAGGATCGGTGCATGCGATCTCCTGGCTCGGCCAGGGAGGCATGTGCACCGGTCCTGGGCCAAGGATGTGCCTGGCCAACATCAGTGTACAGCAGGGGCCCGACCACAGGAAACCCAAGAACCCTTCCACAAGAAACCCAACCATGGACCCCCAGGACGTCCATCGACATTTGGCGTGTGGACGTCACGCCTTCCACAGCAAAACCCTCGAGACCCAAGAAACCCAGTGCACCCTGGAGGCAAGCAGGGTGTTTCTTGGCATGGGCCCCCGCTGTATGTGCATCGCTCCCGTCGCTCGACTGAAGGATCGGGTCGGAGGAAGGAGGGGCGGTCGATCAAGAGCCAGTGGGCAAGTCAGCTCCGCGTCCTCCTACCCATCCTACCACTCCTACCTCCTACCTCCTACCTCCTACCTCCTCCTCCTTCCTCCTTCTCCTACCTCCTCCCTCCTCCTCCCTCCTCCCTCCTCCTCCTCCTCCTCCTCCTCCTCCTCCTCCTCCTCCTCCTCCTCCTCCTCCTCCTCCTCCTCCTCCTCCCACCCCTTCTGACTCTCCCGGCGCCGAGGCGCCGGTGCATCGAGGAGAGCCAGCGGCAGCGGCTCCGAAACCAGCTGCACACGGTGCACTTCGTGCCCTCCCCGGTGCCGATCACCCAGTGCACACGGTGTACTTCGCAACGTCGCGTTTCCCTATATCCCCCCCCTTTCAGTCTCAGCTCGGGCGTGTCCCCCTACAAGGGGATTTTGGGTGAAAAATGCAACATACCCAAAAAATATTCCAAAATGCTCAACCATACTCCAATTAGCCTGACGAAAGACCCAACCATACGTAGCTGTGAATACCGCAATTGTGGATATATTCTTCGGTGGCGCCCCCGGGCCACGAAACGAGTGAGGGGTGTGCCGAAATAGGGGGTGGAACCGCATGCGAGCGCAGCCACTGGGGCGCTCGGTGGAGCTCCCTATGGAGCCACGAAACGTGTGAGGGGTGTGCCAGAATGGTGGGTGGAACCGCATGCGGGCGCAGCCACTGGGGCCTTCGGTGGAGCTCCCTATGGGGCCACGAAACGTGTGAGGGGTGTGCCAGAATGGGGGGTGGAACCGCATGCGGGCGCAGCCACTGGGGCCTTCGGTGGAGCTCCCTATGGGGCCACGAAACGTGTGAGGGGTGTGCCAGAATGGGGGGTGGAACCGCATGCGGGCGCAGCCACTGGGGCCTTCGGTGGAGCTCCCTATGGGGCCACGAAACGTGTGAGGGGTGTGCCAGAATGGGGGGTGGAACCGCATGCGGGCGCAGCCACTGGGGCCTTCGGTGGAGCTCCCTATGGGGCCACGAAACGTGTGAGGGGTGTGCCAGAATGGGGGGTGGAACCGCATGCGGGCGCAGCCACTGGGGCCTTCGGTGGAGCTCCCTATGGGGCCACGAAACGTGTGAGGGGTGTGCCAGAATGGGGGGTGGAACCGCATGCGGGCGCAGCCACTGGGGCCTTCGGTGGAGCTCCCTATGGGGCCACGAAACGTGTGAGGGGTGTGCCAGAATGGGGGGTGGAACCGCATGCGGGCGCAGCCACTGGGGCCTTCGGTGGAGCTCCCTATGGGGCCACGAAACGTGTGAGGGGTGTGCCAGAATGGGGGGTGGAACCGCATGCGGGCGCAGCCACTGGGGCCTTCGGTGGAGCTCCCTATGGGGCCACGAAACGTGTGAGGGGTGTGCCAGAATGGGGGGTGGAACCGCATGCGGGCGCAGCCACTGGGGCCTTCGGTGGAGCTCCCTATGGGGCCACGAAGCGTGTGAGGGGTGTGCCAGAATGGGGGGTGGAACCGCATGCGGGCGCAGCCACTGGGGCCTTCGGTGGAGCTCCCTATGGGGCCACGAAACGTGTGAGGGGTGTGCCAGAATGGGGGGTGGAACCGCATGCGGGCGCAGCCACTGGGGCCTTCGGTGGAGCTCCCTATGGGGCCACGAAACGTGTGAGGGGTGTGCCAGAACGGGGGGTGGAACCGCATGCGGGCGCAGCCACTGGGGCCTTCGGTGGAGCTCCCTATGGGGCCACGAAACGTGTGAGGGGTGTGCCAGAATGGGGGGTGGAACCGCATGCGGGCGCAGCCACTGGGGCCTTCGGTGGAGCTCCCTATGGGGCCACGAAACGTGTGAGGGGTGTGCCAGAATGGGGGGTGGAACCGCATGCGGGCGCAGCCACTGGGGCCTTCGGTGGAGCTCCCTATGGGGCCACGAAACGTGTGAGGGGTGTGCCAGAATGGGGGGTGGAACCGCATGCGGGCGCAGCCACTGGGGCCTTCGGTGGAGCTCCCTATGGGGCCACGAAACGTGTGAGGGGTGTGCCAGAATGGGGGGTGGAACCGCATGCGGGCGCAGCCACTGGGGCCTTCGGTGGAGCTCCCTATGGGGCCACGAAACGTGTGAGGGGTGTGCCAGAATGGGGGGTGGAACCGCATGCGGGCGCAGCCACTGGGGCCTTCGGTGGAGCTCCCTATGGGGCCACGAAACGTGTGAGGGGTGTGCCAGAATGGGGGGTGGAACCGCATGCGGGCGCAGCCACTGGGGCCTTCGGTGGAGCTCCCTATGGGGCCACGAAACGTGTGAGGGGTGTGCCAGAATGGGGGGTGGAACCGCATGCGGGCGCAGCCACTGGGGCCTTCGGTGGAGCTCCCTATGGGGCCACGAAACGTGTGAGGGGTGTGCCAGAAGGGAGGGGGAGGAGGGAGGAGGAAGGAGAGGAGGAGGAAGGAGGAAGGAGGAAGGAGGAAGGAGGAACGCGGGGACCGTCTCTTCAAAACGAGGACCCAACAACACAGGTTGGTTGGGAAAAATGGTTCCCCGACTATTTTTACGATTTCTGAGTATCCCCCCTGTAGAAGGACAGGCCCGACTTGATTTTAGTCCGACTCGTCCAGATGTCAAAAAAAAGAAAAGGGTTCGAGCCCTCTCGGACGAGCAATTCTAGACCCTCCTCCCAGACCAGCCATGGAAATGCGGCATTTTGCCCAGACCCAGTGGGACCTCCAAGACAGCTCAAATCAGGCCCCTCCCTCGAATCTGACCGTCCCTTTTTGGCTGTGAACTCCGGAGTAGGCTATGCAGAAAATCCTAGCGGAGGCGCGCGGCTCCTGAAGACCCGAATTGCGTCCGATCCGCGTCTGATTTACGACGGACTCACATCGGATGACGCGGACGCCCGTCGGAGTCACGTCGGGCTTCCTTCGGAGCATCGCCGCGCGGTGGTCGAGGCGTATCCGACGGAGCGGACGCGTGGACCCGATGCTACACCTACTGCCCACCGCGTGAGGCCTCCACAGGATAAGACACGACGGGGCTTCTCCAGCCACGGCGAGCCTCCACCACGAGGAGGCTCCCCCGGCCTGGAACCTATGGAACGGCCTGACAAACCAAAACATCGCCCTTCCTGGCTGAGACCAGCGTGATCCGCACTGTCGCGTCCCGGATGCAACCATCGTTTGGGAAGGAGCGGGTAGAACCATTCTGTGAGAACGCGCTGGAGGTACTTCGATTGAGCGTCCCCCCGATCCCTGAAAGGGCGAAGAGGGGACAACTACTCGACTCTTGACATAGGAAAGGCGCCTAAGAAGGAGAGAGCCGAAAATACAGACTTTCAACGAACGAAGGGCGGCCCCAGATGGGCGACTCCGACAGGTTGTGGCTTGCAAATGTTGTAGTTTGCAAACCGCGTCTGGTTGGCGGGCGAGGACCTCAACAGCGATCCCTGCCGCGCCCCGGCGAGGGCTCATCAGACGCTACAGGCGGATTTGGGCGAAACATGACGAACAACTAATACGAATCATGAAAACAATAATAACAATAATAATCGTGATGTTATAATGATAATAATATTACTAAAAATAATAATACGAATAAGAAGAATAATAATAATAATAACAAGAATAAGAAGAATAATAATCAGCATCATGCTCCCAAATAGTTCAACATAGTCAACACATCGTACACTAACTATGTTTTAGACTCCTTTGTAAAATTCCTCCTGTAGAGGGGGACACGCCCGCCCTAACTCTGGTGCCACGGTGCGATCCCTGAGCCCCCGCGGCGCCGACCGCAGACCAACCCCAGCGCAACCACACCCCGTGACAGGCGCCGACACCCACGCCCGCCCGGCGCAGCATGGCGGGGACGCCGGGCCTCTCTCGGGCGCCGCGGGGGCCCACGCCGCGGGGTACGCCTTAGCTCGGGCATGTCCCCCACAGGGGGATCTTGGACGAAGAATGAAAGGTAGTCAGAAGATGCCCCAAAAAGGCTCAAAAATAGTCAGGAACTCGCCCCCCGACGAGTTCCTTTACTATTTTCGACGATCCCCCCTGTGGAGGAACAGGCCCGCCTTAAGGCACGCCGACGCTTGCTGCAGGCGCTGGGCCGAGAGCGGAAGAGGGGAGAGGCTCGCCGACGCCTGCGGCCCGTGTCGGCTGCACGGGTGGGTGTGGTCAGCTTTCCCGCGCTCTCCCTTCCCTCCCCCCCAGCTCCTCTCCCTCCTTTTCCTCCCTCCTCTTCCTCCCCCCCCCCCCCTCCCCCACCCCCTCCTCCTCCTTCTCTTCCTCCTCCTTCTCCTCCTCGTCCTCCTCTCAAGCAACCTCGGCTCGAGCATTTTGCCCGACCGAGAGCCCAGAACCGTCCAGTGGGTGCTTGGGGGGCGCGAGGCCACCTTAGCCGAGTGCGAAGGCGCTCCTCGCGGCGAATCTGGGCAGTGAACGGTTACGGACCATGTCTCGTCCATGGAGCACCTGCAAGGCTTGCCACACCCACGAGTACAATGACGTGCTCGAGCGCAACGCATTTCGCTGCGGCAAGTGCAACCGCCAAGTGAAGTTGCACAAGCCCAAGAGCGACAGCGGTGCTGGCGGCAAGGGCAAGGGCAGCAAGGACAAGCCCAAGGATGGTCGCACCGATCCTCTGGCGCTCGCCTTGCAGCCGTCCCAGGCCTCGCAGGCGCAGGTGCTCACCCAGGCCATCTCCGTGGTGCAGGACCCCGTGCTGAGGGCGACGCTCACAGCTGCCTTGCGGCAGCAGCAGGCCCCTTCCGCGACCGACCAGCCGTCCCCTGCCGAGGCGGTCAGGCGCGCGGATGGGGCATGGCGCGACGCCAACACCAAGCACGACCAGGCTTGTGCCCAGGTTGCCCGCTGCAGGGAGCAGCTCGAGAGGGCCTTGCAGCGCGAGCAGGAGACTGTTCGGCAGCTGGCCGCCGCTGAGCTGGGCAAGCGAGTTGCTGCGCGGGCTTTGGCGTCCGAGGTGGGCCTGGGCTTCACGAAGCTCTCCGAGTCCCCGCAGAAGGATGGGAGCACCGACGGCGGCGAGCCGAAGATGTTCTCCATCAGCTGGGACCAGGAGTTTTTCGACCAGTTGGATGCGGGCGAGTTCGGCTGCGAAGAGAGCGAGCGGACCGAGCTCAGGCGGCTCCAGGCGGAGCTCCAGGACACCAAGGGCCTCCTCCAGACGCGCAGCGAGCAGGCCACGGCGTGGAGGGCCAAGATGCTCGACATGCAGCATGGCATCCGCGCGCGCATGGCCAAGAGGAGGAAGGGCCAGGAGGGCCAGGGCGTCCCGACTGGGCCAGCCGCCCCGTCCACGCCTGCGGCTCCTTCGGGCAACGGCGCGGCCGGCACGCCCGGCGCCGACGGCAGCGGCGACCAGGCGGACAAGGCGGAGGCTCCGGAGGCGGAGATCCAGAAGGAGATCAACCGCACCAGGGCCGCCAAGCAGACGGCTGCCGAGGAGGCGACCAAGGCTGCGTTGGCCACGGCAGCGCCGCCTGAGGGTGGAGCGCCTGCGGCCTCGACGGCGGCGTCAGCGTGACGGCTGCCGTCCCCCACTGACGGGGGCAGCCATGACGTGCGGTCGCCCACCTGCTCGTCAGCGTCTACCAGTGGGTCAGCTGGAACTGCCTCGCAGTTCACTTCTCCTTCTGCCAGTTCGGCATCTTCAGGGTGGTCGGCATCAGCGTCCTCCTCTTCGGCACCTTCGTCGACGTCGGCGGCATCAGCTGCGGCAGGCGGGAGTGAGGCCGCGGCGCTGGACCAAAGTGGACCCCCCCACCCCCGTGGAATCCTGGTCGGCCCCTCCCGAAGCGAGGGAGATCGATCCTCTGTATTTTGGTGTAGGCACCCTAGATAATCCTGTTGTCTTGCACGGGGACGCCTCAGGAGGCCCCGACACCCACGATCCTCGTCTTCGACGGGTTGGGGTTGCGGTTGTCGAGTCCTCCCAATGGCGCTCCAATGATGGTGCTCGGTATCTTTTCGGTCCCCTCCCTGGCCCCCTACAAACGGTCGCTAGGGGTGAACTCTATATGTTGCTCACCGCTCTTAGGTTTTCGGACGGCCCCCTTGTCTTCGTGACGGACAACGACGCCGTCTGTGCAGGGTGGTGGGACCGTCTTTTTGAGGCTCCTCGTGGAGCCAATGTGGACCTCTGGCGCGATATAGGTAAGGATCTCTTAGCCAAGAACCGGGACCCTGGCTCCGTCGTTGTCCTGTGGGTCCCGTCTCACCTCGAGGCTTCTGAGATCATAGCCAAAGATGTGCCTCG